CACAGCCTCAGTTATGGACCTTAGAGCTGCTCCAACATTTGGCCCCAAGGCTAGAAAGCACAAATTGTGTGGGGCTAACTTTATTATGGACACAAAGAAATCAAAACAAACCCAGTTGAGATGGAGGCAGTTTGGTTTAGTCAACTGCCTCTGTTATTACATTTTTTGATACATTATCATCATTGTTGGATGCCCCCAGGGTCTGAAATGCTGCTCACACCTTTGGGGTCAGGGTGCTGTGTTTAGCATGAGGAATGTGCAAAGATTGGGTTGAGGATCCAGCCCTGGGCAGGATTTGGTCCTGCTGCAATGCTCAGGGGCCTGCAGGACAGGCAGTGCTGGGCAAAGGCTGGTCCACAGCTAGTGGAGGATGACAAGGCTGGTCAGTATCCACCTCAAGGAGCCCAGGGAAAAAGTGAGTCCTCCCAAGATCATTGGGATGCCCAGGACATGTTTCCCCACCATGATTTGTCCTGCAACAAGGCCGAGTGCTGGTGCTGCACCCGGGTAATGCCTGGTATCAATCCAGGCTGGGAGATGAACGGATCAGGAGCAGCCCTTCCACGACTTGGGGGTGTTGGTAGATGAGAGGCTGGAAAAGAGGCAACAAAGCACTTGCAGCCTAGAAAGCCAACCTGGGGTGCACCAGAAACAGAGGGACCAGCAGCTCAAGGGAAGTGATTCTATCCCTCTGCCCTGTTCTGATGAGGCCCTACCTGCAGTGCTGTGTCAGCTCTGGGGTCCTCAGCACAGGAAGGACATGAAGCTGTTGGAGTCTAGAGGAGGCCACCAAATCGATTAGAGGAATGAAGCACCTCCCCTATGAGGAAAGGAGGAGAGAACAGGGATTGCTCAACCTGGATAAGAGAAGGCTTCAGGGAGATCTTATTGTCATCTTTCCCTGTCTGGAGGGAGCCTGCAAGAAACCTAAAGAGAGACTTTTGACTGGGGCATCCTGGGACAGGACAAGGGGTAATGGCTTTAAACTGACAAAGAGCAGGCTTAGGTTAGATGTCAGGAAGAAATCTTTTCCATGAGGGTGGTGAGGCACTGGCACAGGTTACACAGAGAAGTTGTGGATGCCACATCCCTGGAGGTGTTCAAGGCCAGTCTAGATGGGGTTTAGAACATCCTCGTCTGGTGAAAGGTGTCCCTGCCCATCGCAGAGGGTTTGAAACGTGATGAGCTTTAAGGTCCCTCCCTAACCAACCATTCTATGTTTCTATAAAACGCACCCGTGTGTGAGCGCGCAAGACCCCCGGCCACGCTGCACCCCTTCCACCGGGACTGATCCGGGCGGTAGGGAGCTGCCGGAGAGGGGTGAGCCTCGCAACGGGGCGGGGGCACGGGGCGTGGTACAGGGGAGACGGGGATGAGGATGAAGGGGTCATAAAAGAGAAATGAGGATCAGCGTGAAGACGGGGAGGAAGATGAAGGAGGGATGAGGATGCGGGCGAGGATGAAGGGGGGCGACTACGTGCCGGCAGCGGCGCCCCGCCCGTCCCGCGCCCTTCCCCATGAATGAAGCGCGCGGGCGGTCCCGGCGGTGACGCGGCGGGCGGGGCGGGCCGGGCCGGGCGGTGACGCGCGCGGTGACGCGCCATGCCGGAAGCGGCGGGGGCGCTGGTTGGTCGGCGGCGCGGCGGGGGGGAGGCGGCCGCCCCGCGCTTGTTGTTGTCCGCGGGACTCGCTGGCAGGGAGGGAGGAGGGAGCCGCGCAGCGCCCCCGCCGCCGCCCCCGCGCCCCCGCCGCCCCCGCCGCCGCCCCCGCCACGGGGCGCTCCCGCCGGCACGCAGGTGAGGAGCCGCCCGGGCGCGGCGCGGAGGGGGCGGGGGCGGGGGGGTGGGTCGGAGCCGGGAAGGGGGGGTGGCCGCGCGTTGCCGCTCGATCGCGGGGGAAGGGGCGCCTCGGCCCGGGTCCGGCCCGGGTCCGGCTCGGTCCGGTCGGGTCCGGTCGGGCGCGGGCGGGCGGGGCGGCGGAGGTAAAAGTGCTGAGTCACCACCGCGCCGGGCACGTGGTGCCGCCGCCCCTCGCACCGGGCCGGGCCGGGCCGGGCGCGCACGTGGGCCCCGGCGGGGGGCGAGGGGCGGGGGGGGGCGGGC